AACAGAACCCTCAGTAAATGTGTCAATAGTTCTACACAACACCTTTGTCTCCCAGTCACCATTGTGCCACAACTCACCATATATGGACTGGCAGAATTAGCATGGCAGTGGAATTTAAAAACAGGTTCTGCTCCCCGCAACCACAGGGCTGTATTTTTACCCGTTCTGGTAGGCCTCAGTTCTGCCTCCTCCCTGGCAGCAGCAGGAATTTCTAGCGGGGCATTAGGACACAGCATTCTTCAAACAGAAAACTTCGACAAAAAAGTCCAGCTGGTCTAGAATCCACTGCAGAATCTCTTACCTCTTTGCAGCGACAGCTTACCTCCTTAGCACAGGTAACTCTTCAAAACCACCGGGCATTAGATTTGCTCACTGCTGACAAGGGTGGTATATGTATGTTTTGGGGGGAAGAATGCTGCTACTACATCAACGAATCTGGACTAGTTGAGCAGAATGTAAAGGTTTTACACAAAATGGCTGATGAAATAAAAAAATCAGCGTTTAAAGGATTTATCAGCCACATCCTGGTTCCAAGGCCTCCTCATTTCTTGGCTCGTGCCGCTCATGGGACCCCTGGTAATAATTTGCTTTTTGTTGCTAATAGCTCCTTGTTTTTTCAGATTTCTCCAAAGCAGTTGACATTGCTGTCAACCAGCTCCTTTTGCACCCTTACAGTAATCTCCCACAGGAGTCAGACATTCCCAACCCATAAGCTCCTCCCACGCTGTCCCAGTACCCGCAGGAAGTAGCCAGAAGAGTCGTCGCCCTATCACCAAAGAGTTGGGATGTCTGGCTGGACCTTGAATCTCCCCGTCCCTTGCGGAGCTGACCAGACTGGGCTGAAACAACTAGCAGCGAGTGACCTTGAATCTTCCACACACACCTGCGGAGCTGACCAGAGCTGGCTAATGCAGCTTTGCAAGTTTTTTTTTTTCTTCTTTCTTTCACTCCTGGCCCATTTTGCTCACGACCCGTTTTGTTCACTGCCCGTTTGGCCCAGTGCCCACTTTGCTCTCGACCCTCCACTTTGCACCCGGCACAGCCCATTTGGCTCAGTGCCTGCTTTGTTCTCGGCCCACCGCTCTGCACCCGGCACCGGCAGGGCCTGTTTGGCTCAGTGCCTGCTTT